ATGTCATCAGGCAGCTGATATCGGGATCTTGGTTTGGCTACAAAAATTAACGTTCAATTCTCCGCCCGTTAAGCGTTTGTGAGGTAAGTATTATCACTAACGAAAAGTGATTTTTCGTTATTATTTCTAAGTTTCCAGATATTGTACATGTATTAATGTTTTTTTTATAGTGTCATAAATTTAGCAAACGTTTCTCGGTATTGTCTGCATTTTGTATTAAATGGCTTTTTCTTAATGGTGTGAAAACATTGAACCAAAAGAATTGTTAAAACAGGACCTAAATAACAATTCTCGATAAAATAAAGATCGTATATTATTCACTTATATTTTACCTGACTCGCAAAGTGACCTCCGCTTAGGTTGTCGAAACGTCAGTCACCAACAACAGTTCTTTTCAGAACTACCCTCACCCGGACGATCACACTATACGAATTACCAAAAATCGTATAACATGCAACAATGAGAAAACANGTCGAAACGTCAGTCACCAACAACAGTTCTTTTCAGAACTACCCTCACCCGGACGATCACACTATACGAATTACCAAAAATCGTATAACATGCAACAATGAGAAAACATCCAGAAAAAACACGGTCGATTAAAGCTGTACTTCCACAAATCGATAGAAACACAGAGGTACCGGCCAGGGCTGTTGACATAAGCATGAAGCGAGCAAAGAGAGGTTGAATTTTGAGAATCGAAATAAATGGGTGACGTTCTTTTCTTTTTGCCCCAGTGTTTCCTAAAAGAAATAGAAAACGTTTTCTTCGCTTTTCTATCGCGTTGTAGACTCCTATAGATTTTTCTGTAACCGAAAGGGGAGGTTTGGGAAGACAAGAAAAGCTACTGGAACACCAGCCGAAGGCAGTATTTAACTCTGCCATTGAAGCCCTGACGCACTCGATAGCGGGCAAACATACACAACTGTTTTTGTTTGTTTGTTTTTTGTTTGTTGTTTTTTTTGTTTTTGGTTTTTTTTGGTTTTTTTTCCTGAATGACCGAAATGAGGACGTTTTGCCTCTGAGGCGATATATAAATATATATATTTTTTGTTACTCGACGTTTTTTATGGCGGTCTTTTATAGCTAACACAGAAATGGTGTTTCCTATAGATTAGGCAAAATATCACTCTCGATATTATTTTAGATCAACTCACCATGTCGTCAGCGAAAGCACGCACACCAAAAAAACCGATCGCAGCAGCTTGTAAAGGAGAGAAATACGAGATTCTTGACATGCTTGGAGAACAATCGAACACCCGAAACGGTTAATCATTATATTTTCATTGCGTTTGTTATGAGTCAAATCAATTTAGTCTGAAAACTGAACGATTTCATTCGTAACCAAAACTTTTGTCTTTCCAACACTTTTTTCAACATTTTTGTCCTGTTCAATAGATTTTCTTGCATTTCCGC